AAGATTTTGTCTCAGGAGCCCCATGGTAGCACCCCTGTGGGGTCCCTGAGTCGGGATCAGCGTCCTGGCGGAGGTTTTTCAGTTGAATGGGAGATTGTCCAAAAAGCGGGAGGGGAAGGGGATTCTGGCTAGCATGTGTAAAGGAGCAAGTCCGCTGGTACGTAGCTTGTCATGTTGAAGAAAGTGAGACGACAAATTGAGTTTAAAGCATTAGAACCCAAGTGGCATGGAGTTACGAAGGCAAGTGGTAGTCAGATGTTACGAGTCGTAGTAGCCAGCTTTGAAGATTTGGTCTCCGCATCAGGAGTTTTAAGTTTTCAATAGATACTGGGGCTGTTTGGCGCTGTCCTTCTTGTGTCCCCCGGCCCAGAAGACTTTGACCATGTCCATGTATGACCACGTTTACCTATTGAAAAGGCAACAATCCTTTCTTTCTGAGATCTGGTCTCTGTTAATTAGGGTTACATTTAGGGTTCTCATGTACGCTGACAATGTTCCGCTGCTATTATAAGGTTTTCAATGGTTAATTCGTTGGGAGTGGACCGCCTCATTCCTTTTTTGTAGTCTGGGAGCTCTGCTGAACCCTGTCACTTCCGGTGACCCTGCTGGCATTTGAAATACACAGCTCCCAGCATCACAGCAAGCCACAGGCCACCATAGTGGGGCTTGTTCATGAAGATCAAGAATTGCAGCCTTCAGTATGGATCACAACTCAATGGAAAGAAAAGCAAAATGCTCACAACTGGACCAGTGAGTACCACCGTGGTAAATGGAGGTCAAGGATCTCCCCCTGCTTGGATCTACAATCAGTGCTCATGGAAACAGCAGTGAGGCGATCGAAGAACTCGCTGCTTTGAGTAAACGTCTATACCAGTGTTGAAAAACAAAGCTATCTCACGAGGTGTCAATGGGATTAGGTCCCAGGCATCAAGAACCCGAAAAAACAAACAAAGAGCCTATCAATGGGAATAAGGGGGAGGGCAGAGTGGAGACCTAAAGCCCATCAGTGGTCAACTGGACACCCCCCGTCAGAACTGCCACAAAGAAGAGAAGAGCCAGTCAGGGTGCAGTGTAGCACTGAAGAAATACACAACCTTCCTCTGGTTCTTTAATGCTTCCCCCACCCCCACTACCATGACCCCAATTCTATCTGACAAAACTGGGTAGACCAGAACATGTACACCAGTACAGATAAGAGCTCACAACACAGGCAATCCAGAACAGTTAAGCCTCTCAGGACCAGTAAGAGGAGCAGCGATACTAGTAGGGTGAGAGTTGGGGTGGGGAGGGAGTAAGGAAGGGGGAAGCAATCACAATGATCTATGTATGGCCCCCATGCCAGGGGGATGTACAGCAGAAAAGTGGGTGAAATGAGACAGCAGTCGGTGTAAGACATGGTGGGGAAAAAAGGAATAATTTAGTAAATTATCAAGGGCGGGGGGGCGCGGGGGTGGAAGAGGGAGGGCGAGAATGAGGAGCTGATGCCAGGGGCTCAAGTAGAAAGAAAATGCTTTGAAAAAGATGATGCTGTACACTGGTACAGATCAGAGCTGGAAACACAGGGAATCCAGGACAGATAAACCCCTCAGGACCAATAATGAGAGTAGGGATACCAGGAGAGGAAGGGAAAGGTGGGGGGGAAAGGGGGTACTGATCACAAGGATCTACATATAACCTCCTCCCTGGGGGGTGGACAACAGAAAAGTGGGTGGGTGAAGGGAGACATCGGACAGTGTAAGACATGACAAAATAATAATCATTTATCAAGGGTTCACGAGCAAGGGAGGGTGGGTGAGGGAGGGAGGGGAAAAATGAGGAGCTGATTGAACCAAGGGCTCAAGTAGAAAGAAAATGCTTTGAGAATGATGATGGCAACAGATGTACAAATGTGCTTGACACAAGTGGATGGATGCATGGATTGTGATGAGTTGTATGAGCCCCCAATAAAAATGATTTTTAAAATTTTTTAAAGAGAAAGATGATGACAACATATGTACAGATGTGTATGACAAAATGGATATATGCATGGATGTGCTAAGAGCTGGAAGAGCCCCCCATAAAATGATTTTTTTAAAAAATCAAAGATATCCCTTTCAGGACTAAAGTGTGCCTGACCCAAGCAATGGTATTTTCAGTCGCTTCATATGCCTGTTGTAAGGTTTATTTGGGCGTGAAACAGAACCAAATATCCAATTAACAAGGTTTTAGAAGCATGAACCCTTGATAATTTGTAATTATTATTTTCATATCTTATACCTACTGCTGTCTCCCTTCACCCACATTTTCTGCTGTTCATCCCCCTTGGGGGGGGTGGCAGTTATACATTGATCATTGTGATCAGTTTCCCCTTTCTCCCCCGACCTTCCACCTACCCTCATGCTTAGCGAAGCAGGCCCAGATGGGATATAAATGCAAGCAATGCAAAGTGACAGGATCCACCAGCCTCAAGCTCCAGTGATCTTCGCACCAGCAGTGTGGCGAAGCAGGTCTCGAAGGAGCCTCAAGCTCTAGTGATACTATCCACGGGTTGGCTTGGCTCACAGGTAGTGTAGCTCACAGGTTGCAGCAGAGAACGAGCTCCAGCAGCAGTAGGCTGGGCTGATCACCCAGGGAGCAGGGAGGGTGGTGGTGTGTGTGTGTGTGTGTGTGTGTAGTGTTCATTCTGCTGTACAGAGGGCCCCTGGGAGTTCAAGCACAACAGGCTGACATACTGAACATATCTGCTGTAGACTCAGGCCAGTGCGGGGTTCCAGAATTGTTAAACCTTTGGCTCTGGCTGTGTTGCTAGAACCACATGATGGGACAGGGTAGAATTCCTCTTTGTTCTACACGCTAATAAGCATACACTGGGTAAACATAGCCAGGGAACAACTTGGAGGTAACTAGGCTGTTTATAGACTTTGTTCCTTTAAAGACTCGATATATGCCAGTCAGGTCAAGTTAAATCATTTACGTGTATTAATTTACTTAATCTTAACAATGGATCTCTTTGGTGTGGTCCAACAAGCCTGTGAAGTAAGAATGGTAAATTGACAATTAGCAACCACGGAAGCTGAGTCTCAAGGGGAGTGTCCATGCCAGTTGGGCCTTGTGGTCAAGAGCTGAGCTTCGAGGCCAGAGCTGGGATTAGAACCAGGCTGCCTCTGAGCCAACTGATGTCACCTTTGATTTACCACGTGAGTGATGGTATCTACTGGAGTCTAAAAGGGTTTAAAATGGCTTTCCTTCTTTCTCTAACATACGTTTGCACACATTCTTTGCCTTGCGGTTGGGTTGTTCACATTTTTCTTTAATCATTGATGAGCCCATGCTCATGCCAAAGTCACACAGAGAGTAGGCATTTGAAGACCAATCGTAATATTGACGTGTACTGAGTGGCTTCAAAGGACCCCTGGGTGCTGTGGTGGCTTACACATCGGCATACCAACCACAAGATCAGCAGTTCAAATCCACCAGCCCACTCTGCGAAGAAAGATGCCTTCTGTTCCCATAGAGTTACCGCTCGCTAGGAGCTGGAACTGACTCGAAGTCAAGGAGCTGGAAGTCATTCTCTGGCAGTGAATTTGACTTTTTGTTGTCAGGGGGCTTCAAGAAGTTGATGGAAAAACACAATTCAAAGATAATGGAATCTTTCCACGAACCTTCTGAAGCTCCCTTGTGGAAAGAGGTTCTTTGAAGCACTGTTTGTAAACAGCTAAGAACCAGAAAGGATCAGAAGGACAGGGCTAAAGATACTATAGAAGATCCACAAAACCAGCTATCTGTTCAAAACAATGCAGGGACACTACGTGGTACCTCGTGAACTGACAGTCACATGCGTGGGTATACGTAAGATTACGGTTCTTACAGGAGAAGTAGGAAGATACAGGCTGGTTAAGGTGACTTACGTTTCTTGGAAGGTAGCCGGGACCCACTGGCACAGTAGTTAGAGCACTCACTGGTGGCCCAGAGGTCAGCAGGTGACCCACTGGCTGCTCCGTGGAGAAGGGCGGCGGACTGCTTCCGCCAAGGTTCAGCTTTGGCAGCCTCGTGGGTCGTTGTGCTTGTGGAGTTGCTAAGTCACAATCAACTCCAAAGGAACACGTTTTCTAGAAGAAACCAACCCCAAACAGACCTGCTGCCACCCAGCCCCTTCTGACTCCTAATGGCCCCATTGGGCACGGCGCAGGTCCCCTGGGTTCCCGAGGACCCGCCGGCTGTGGCTGAGGGCGACTGGCAAGTGGAAGGCCGTTTCTCCCTGTACTGCCTGTGGTATTTACCCAGGTGCATATGTTAATTTTTACATTTGTTCTAAAGGTCATTAGGATAGATGCAGTGTTTTTCTCTATAAAGCTTTTCTTTTACGGAACCTTACTAAAAATGAATTGTAAAACCCTAGCGTTGAAAAAACAGGAGCCACGTCATTTGTTTCTAGTGATGGCACGAGGCGGCCCGTCATTTTTCCAGAGAAGACAGCGCTGGAGTTACAGGCAGGAGAAAGGCTCACCTAGCTCAGCACGCTCAGGCCTAATTCTGGGTCCATTTGCCCCCCTCTCCGCACCCCTGAAGGGCAGATCAGGTGTCGAAGGACCTTCCATTCGGCTCCTTCTGGTTCACTAGGTGGTCCATACGAGTTCTTCCCCCTCTCACCACCCTTGGACGAGGATCACAAAGCCAGAAAGGCAATGAGAAGTGTAGCCCTTCACAGGTTACGGCGTCTGTACAGAGCCTTACCAGCAAGAGGGTTCTAGGCAGCGTCTTCAAAGCCGCCTCCTCAGGTGGAAAGAACCACTTACAAAGCCAAGGGGATTTTCTGGCAAGACAGAGCCTAAAGGTCCCAGCAGCTTTTAAAAAAACTCAACTTTGAATCGTTATACCTGCTGAAGCTTAACAGCAGTCCACCGGTCCTGTGTAAGGGGCCACTGCTGATCAGTGTATGCACCCCGAAAGGCTGTCTCTAGACCTGCCACAGTTTGAAATGCCATACCCAAGAGGGAACAAAATAATCTGCAGAAGCCTCGTCAGTCCATTCAGAGTTTTATTTTTATTCAGCTCCACGGAAACAGCAAAAACGAACACTACAGTCAGCAACCCCCGACCAGCTTGACTGACACCCGTGAAAGGGGATGGAGCCAACAGGCCCGGACGGCTTTCAGGGGCCCACGGTCAGCTCTCGCTCAGTACTCCACTGCTCCCAACAGCCGGGCCTCCCCGCCAGACACAGCGGTTTGCTTTCAAGGGTCAAGTTTGCTCTATCACTACAGAGCTGGTCTCTTTCCCTGGATTTTATTTCTCTCGTCTTTAAATTCTGGGTTGCTATTTGCATAAGGAACAATTTGGTGGGCCTCATCAAGAGTCCCAAAACATCACCCTGAAGGGAGTTCAAATGTGGTGAACCCATGAGCGGGGACTGTGAGCCGGAAGTACAAGGGAAAGTCACCTTAGCTAAACTACTCTCTGATCTTTCAAGTCTCACCTATGGGAAGGAACAGGGAGGAGGAGGAGGAGGAGGAGGAAGAGGAGGAGGAGGAGGAGGAAGAGGAGGCATCGACATGCGTCACTGAATCGGAGAACACAGCTGGGGCCTCGGGACCAGTCTGCACATCCCTGCTGGCCCTACTTCCCCGACAGCTGCTCGTACAGCTTGGGCACGTAGTCGTCCCATTCAGCTTGGTAGCACGTGCCAGCAACGGGGGAGCCGAGCTCGTACTTTTTGCGGAAAGACGCCACCTTGAATTTGCCTCGGTGGTCTCCAGAGCGGTTGCTGAGCGTGGGCTCATCACACTTCAGAGGCCGGGCCTGCTCGTAGACCAGCCAGACGTAGCGGTGGAGGCCTGGGGGAAGAGACGGAGGAAAGATGGAACACTCTTACAGGCACCGGGGCGGGCGACGGCCATCCAGCGTCACGGAGTGTGGGAGGGACTGCCCTGTGGCTGCCCACTGCTCTTAGCATCCTGTCCGAGCTCTCCCTCAGTCTCAAAGGGCCAGTCCTTACCCCCCCTTGAGCCTTGCCTCCTTCCTTCTCCTGACTCTCAAGACCCCGGGCTTCTCAAATAGGAGCCCTTTCCCCCCCTCCACTGGAGCGGAATGCCTGCTTAGTCCTGTCACAGTAACCCCGTGACCCGAGAGGCCCTGGGGCACGCCGATGCCAGCACATGGCTGCTAACAAAAGGGGGACCCCACCAGGCTGCTCTCTGGGGTGGCTCAGCTCCAGGGTTTCTAGGAGTTAAGATCGACTCCACGGCAGGGGTTTGGTTTTTATCAGTATCTCTGTACTTCCCAAACCTCCTTCCTCTGCAGACGGAGATCTGCTTTAAAATGACCCACGCTCACTTGGGCCAACTCATGGCAAAGAATGTTTTAAAAGCAGCCAGCAAGCTCCAATGAAGTACCGGACACAAATGGTAGTATGACCATCATTTAAAAAAAATAGTCTTTTTTTTTTTTTAGTGAGTGCAACTTACGATGTGCTGGGTTTCATCTATTTATCTATGTATGAACAACAGAGTTTTACTCATTTTCAGCAGGACACACTTAGACTTTGGTGGCCGGCTCCTTTATGAGAGCCGTGTGGGCAGATGGTTACAGAGAGCTTTGCTGGCTCGCAGGGGAAAGCCACGTATATCCTTTGTGGCATTTTCTCTTTAAAAGCCATGGTCTACTTGAGGCGAGGAAAATGCATCTAAAAAGAGAAAGCCGGGTTACCCCAGTTAAAAGTAAAATCCCGTATCTGGCGTGGGTGTGCAAAGACCCGGTGACATTTCTGGAACTACTGGTGGGCACTAATTGTTTTTTCTTTCTCTCTGGCCTCAACATGGGAGAAGACATGTCAGCAAATTGGCTGTGAAAGGTAAACCCTATTTAGCATGCCTCCACATTTGGCTAGCAACGTAAAATTTTGTTTCATGTCATTAATAATGGTGCTTTATAAATCAATAATCTTGCCACAACTTCAAAAAAAAGTCTTTTAAAGTTATTGAAGATGTAAATTACTTACAAGTAAAGAAACAGTTAAGAAGCCCATGAAAGATCATTAGCCGGTCAGGTCACACACAATAAAACCACCACGTAAACAAGCGGCCATCTAGCTCAGAAGCAACAAAGCCCACATGGAACAACATATCAACCTGTGTGATCACG